ATTCTAACACTATGCAATTGCTCAACAAAAAGATTTCTGGGTTAGAGATAAAACAAACTGTGTGACACTATTTTGAGAAGAATCTTTTCGAAAGCACGTGCGATCGGAAAAGCTGCAGGGTAGAGAAGATGTTTGTGTAATTAGCCCAATGGAGTGGGATAATTAAGAAACTTGTACGGGACTCGTGGCCCGATCGACTTCAATAGCATTCCTCGCACATTCCATAACCCTCGGTCTCGATGACAGAATCCCCGGGTCGGAGAGGCAAGTATCGCGTCCTGTGCCCCCGCATAGTGGCACGGACACACACATAGCACGCAGCGATGCCCTATTGTAGTCCGGTGCGTATCGTTATACGCCGATATGCACATTATGCGCCACGTGCATAGGCTCAGGATTGCTTACGTAATGATCAGACAGGATGTTAGCAGTAAAATGTCGACCCTGCTACGTAACCTCCGGTATTTTGAAATAATAAAACTGCAGCAAGGTTCACGATCTTTATCAGTTTGATTTCCCTCCTCAGAAATTCGCAGTAATGAAAAGCAAAACACGTTCTATTCCACTTATCTCTAATTATAGGATGCTTTATTTAATTCTACAGCGAAAGTAGAATATTTTGTCTTGAAGCGTTCGGAAATGGACCATACTTCAGCGTGTGCAGTTTCTAATTCATAAAACCAGAACACCGTCGCCTAATTGAGAAGAATTGGAGCACGTTGCCTTTCTCGTTTCAGGAACGGCGAGGAAGCCGAGGATGGGAGCCCGAATTGTTATTCAACTTCGGTAAGAGAAGGAGCAGAAAAGGCGACGAGGACGGAAAATCGAGCAGAGGGTGGGACGAAGAGAGGAGTGGAGGAGAGTTCGGCCACGAGGGCGAACGACAAATAAAGTTCGACCGCAAACTGCACGAAATTGTCGGCGAGCCCAGATGGTCAGCTCCGGTGCGCCAACCGATGCCTACAAGATTATTCCTCGCTACCGACTATACTACCACGACCGCCGCGCAGGGAGAAACAAGGGAGGAAGCTCTCTCTTTCTCTCCCCGTGTTCGGATACTCCGCGACCGGATCCCACGACTTCTCACGTACCGGACGCTCGTAATGCCCCCAAACGTATCGGCCGACACTCTTTTTCGGTTCGCCTCCGTCTACTCTCTCTCTTTCTCTATCTCTGTCTCTCTTTCTCGGCTGCTGGCTGTTTCCATTCACAGGAAGCTAAGTAGAATGGGGATGTACCCGGGTTACGGAGGATAATGCAACGCGGATCATCGACGATGGTCTGGGGAACTTCGTTCGAGCCTTTGAACCCTTTACTGGATTTAACTACTCTTCAAAGGATTCCCTCCTCACTCTACATTCTACAGCTACAGTTAGTAAAAATATACGTGAGATTCAGAGGCTCTGCAACACTGAGTTTTACGAAACTTTTGTCTGATACTTCACATATGAATGGCTAAGTGGACGATGATCGAAAGCACACAGGAAAGATTCTACGGAGAATAATTGCATAAAATAAAATGCTTACAATTAACACTCGTCAGTGAAGAGGTACACGTGCTGCATTTGAAAACATCAACGACAGAAAACAATTTTATAAAATAGAGGAACAGAACTAGGATGATCCTTAACTTGGAAAGTCGAAACAAATCTGCACGAAAATCGAATAGAATTAACAAAGCATGTTACGAAGAAGAGCCTCAGAGATTCCCATGCAACTGAAGAAGTACGATTATGTTATACGTAGATTAACTACCAAACAGAAAGATGCAAGAAATATTCGTAAGAACGTAAAATGTAGAGTAATTATTATCGAATTCTGGTAAAGTTTTCGATCGAACAAAGAAGAGGACATGATTTGACGAGTCAGCCAACACACCTGAACGAGAAGCACACGTCTTGGATCGATCCAGCGTTAGGGAACCGAAGATCTCTTCGAAGCAGAGATCAGCAACGTCTGCGCTGCGTATCGCCACGAGCCTGTTCAGGATATCTGAAAGCGTACCTGTTATCCGAATCTAGAAGCGGAAAGGCGGTTAATTACAAATGGAACAAAGGAACGATCGTTGATATGACACCTTCGCCCCTTCGAAGTCCCGGCGTTCGTGCCAGGCCCATGGCGAGACAGAGACCGAGAAACAAAGAGAGAGAGAGAGAGAGAGAGAGGCAAATAATTCCAATCTTCGCAGCACCACTCTGGTGGGCTTATCTAATCAAAGTGTGGCGGCCCTGGAGGACGGAAATAGCGCGGCTTTTTCCTCCTCTCTAATAAACAGGGCCCTCCCCTCCGCTCGTCTTACGTCCTCCTTTGACGACGGAGCTTTCTACCAGGCATTTCGACGATTTTTAATTCTATTTATCCTTCACGAAAAGTGCTACTCAAGTGAAATTCTGATCGTCGTTTGAAAAACTTCACGGAACTCTTGCAACGTAGATATGATAGTTATTAGATTTTCTAATTATCTACAGACTGACAAATATATTGAAAATAAAAAGATACAGCGAAGAAGAATAAATAACAATTGAAGACTGAATTGCTACGATCTCTGGTTGCGATTTCTACATAATTCTAATTAATTTGATAAAAAATAAAAATTGCAAGATACTAGACAACGTTTATTGCCACGATTCAAACTTCGAATAATTAAATTACAAGTTTGACTCGGTTCAGTTTCAACGAAGTACCTGAATTCAAATTGATGACACGCAATTTTCCACGACACGGAAATAACTTCCTTTCGGTACGTTTCACAATCTGCGTAACTAAATTTTCCAATTGGCAATCGTTCAATTTTCCCATAGCGCGATATCGTTGAGAATGTTCTGCTGTATCGAAGTCGGATTTGCTCGTAGGCAATTTTCATTCGTAACCCGGTATACTTAAAACCTCGCATCCTCGTGCACGCTTTTTTTCTATAATCCGGGAACGCGCGGGAGGCTACGTAGAGAACGTTTTTGGCGAACGGGCGTCGCGCGCTTCTCTAGTCAAATCGAAATTCCAAACGCGAGGCAATTACTAGCCAAGCAAATTCAATTTCAACCTTTGACTGACAGCAGCCGTGGACCATCGATATTGTTTTACTCTGGGAACGTTCCGATGATTTCCGGCCACGGCGATGACGACTACGGGTAGCCACTATGTTTCAACTTGTTTCCTTTTGTCTACTTCTACTTCCGGGTTTTCGTTCCGCTCGATTTGTTTAAAAAACTCCGTGGAATTTTATCGAATCTTTAATACTACGAAAGAGGATTAAAGAGAAAAACTAAGAACTATTGCATCTTGAAAACTAGCATCTACTACAGCAATGCATCCCTAAAAGTTTATCGCTATTTATCACGTTTCTTAAATTTTTAGCAGAGACCTCACGGTATAATGTAAAATATTTTATTTCCTACGGATAACGGTTTCAATTTGTTTAACAAACCACAATTTTTTTTATAAACTATGGTAATGTGTTAAACTAAGATTTTGAAAATTCTCAGGATGCAAATTAACATCAGAATTTTAATAGAACGAGCTTAATCTTGTTACGTGTCGTTTAACGCCACGCCACGGGTATTTGCACGCGCTGACGGGTCCCGACGCGCGACGAGCTGGTCAGAAATTGCGCGATTATATCCGGGGCGAAACAGCCGGACAGCGGGTAGTGTAATAGAACGGGCGAAAAAATTGGGGTGGTGATTTTCGATAACAAAAAGCTCACGATTATCCATAGGAATAATGACAGCCGGCAGGTGTCTGCGAAACGACGCGATCGTTGCTAGAGGACAATGAAAGCGGTTGTTTTGCCCGACGCGACGGCGGCGCTCGTACGCACTGAACGTTAGCAGTAGTTCGTCTGTAGATGCGTGTCCCAGGGCTTGTTGGAAAGCGAAGACACGCCATCGTTCAGCCCGAAGAAAAAGAGACCCCGTATATGCAATATGTCGTGATGCGTGTCTCATTCTGAGACGTCGTTCCCTTCATCTCAACTGAAGGCTTCGAAAGTCTTCGAATATTAGCCAATATCTAAGATTTCCAATTTCTATTCACGTCGCAATTTCTTCTCATTAGCTTAATTTTCTATAAATCTGATATAACATAAAATTATAGAGGAATAAGCCAGTGAATAGAAATTGTGACGTGAACAAAAATTGGGACATTCATCTTACTCGTTTTATTACAGTCTGTATGGAGCTTGGCTGAGAATTCAGATTGTCAAATATACAAGCTTTGCATGGACTTAGAAAATGTATTCGTCATTTCGTCGATTTTTGGAAAATGTTTCACAAGTTTTTATCAGGCATGACCGAAACAGTGAAAAAACATCAATCTCCTTGTTTTGATTCCTCGAAACAAAATACGATACGTATGATATACAGGCGTGATCGAGCAACAGTGCACGTCGACTGGATAAACACGCGTAAATACATACATTCCTAGTTGCCGATTCTATTTTATCCATTGCCCCGTGAATTCGATCGTTAAACGTTTATAGCTATCGATGAATATTATAGATTCCTCGTCGTTTCGAGCGTCGTACAAGCGAGGAGGAGTTCGATCGATCGTCGTGACAACGGGGGAACGAGGGCGAGCGATAAAAACGTCAGCAAAATCAATCACGCAGCCGGCCATTTCGAAAAAAACAACGGCGGAATAAAAAAAAAAATCTCTGCGAGACCGGGGCGGCGGGCACACGCATCGCCCTACGCCTATCAATACTTTATACAACAAATGCGAAACGTCCGCAAAAAGCTGCCGTATTCGCGGTCGACTCCGCAGCGGCTGTTAATCTGATATCGAAATAACGGGCATTTTTTTGTTTCCCCAAAGGATAAACCGGCGTTCGGTCGAAATCGAATTTTGCATTTTTGAAACGACATTCCTTTGCGCGGACAAATTATTTACACGGGTCAATTTACATTTCATGGATCTGTCGCAACGCGGGTAATCAAACGTTCGAAGAAACGAGAGAAACGTTTGATCTCACAATTCTTCATTTTGATAAATATATTTCATGATAGACAAATTGATAGAAATTTTCTTCTTGCGAGAAACGATTTAGGTCGAGTATGGAAGGAGATCAGTAACGAAGGACGTGAGTTGAGATTATTTGTATATCGCGAGCCGATATCGCAAATACGCGTGACACGAGGCTCGTGTTATTAGGCATAGCCTGGCATCGATAATAATTAACGGATATTTTTGGAGGTTTTCATAGTATATTACGGTTAAGTGGATTACTTTTCGCGCGGTAAAGCGTGCTGGTAAAAGCATTGTCCATGTATAGAGTGGCCGGGGGTTGGCAGGGGTGAATAGCTAACCCAAAACACGCATACGCGCGGTACGCACGTCGACCACTGCATCATCGCGCACCATCTGCTCGGTAATGACTCCCCATTACCGCGTATAGGGACTTTCGTTGAATTATCGGTACATTTTCAGGGAATCCGCGCGCCCGGCTAGCAGCAGCAGCCGGTGGCAGGACAGATCCCGCGCGATGGATCCACGATCGGTTCGCGCGGAAAGTGTTTCACTTTATCTACTCACTCGTTTTCGAGCGCGGCTCCCTCGGCCCGTCTACGGTAACCTTGATCGCCCTCGTATACGTTGCCACTTGGGGTGGCGTCGTTGATACCGTGATCGTGATACTGAAGCTCTTCCCTGGAACACATACGTTCAGACACTTCCTTAATATTTAATAAAATAAATGTTTCTTATATTCTGTTAGATTGGGTCATATGAAACATTGTCACATTTATAGTTTACTGTGATAAACGGTCACCCCCCTGCGCTTCTGTGCCATGGAGTTTCCAGAACCAATTTATCTCAAACGTAAAGCCCGAAGACTTTGTCTTAAGGATAGATTATATGAACTAATCGTTCAAAAATGTGGAGTCTTGTATTTGCAGTTGTTTATTTTTATGCCTTATTTTGACTAATAAAGTAGGGCAATAACTATCATTCAGGAATGCATTCTAATTTATTATCTTACTTATAATTTCATTATCTTGCTATACTATAAGAGACAGGATTTGTTTGTCAAAAATCTGAAAAACGACTTGACTATTTACAACGAAATTTCGACAGTAACTTCGTTACATACTCAGAAACATCATGTTTGATATTGGATTTTCTTTATATAATTTATAATATTACATTCTGACATAAGAAAGTAAGATTTTACTAAAATTTGTTGGAGAGATATCGCAATAGATAGTTTGCAATTAACAGAACGTTGATTTATTTGCGATTGAAGAGACAGACTGCGGTCAGGGTGGACACGTAGCGAATCTCGATCTAAATACTTTACGATATTCTTCCCGCAATTACATCCGCGTCCATTAGGCTTCGAGGAGACCGCGCAGGCTCTAAGAGAGGGAAGAGAAGCTGGGTTCGGGGGTGGAGCAGAGCCGCGCGGTGCGCGTATATCACCGACGAAGGTCTCGAGGTTGAAGGTCCGAGGGTATATTAATTCCCTCGCCGTAAACGTCCGTCGCGGAGATTGACTACGCTTTCTTAAACGGTACTAATATGCATTCGGTAATTCGCCGCTCCTTCCAACGAAGGAGCCCCCTTATCGTCCTTTCGGGCTGCTGAAACCTAGCTGCATCTTTTCAGTTTCTTTCTAGGACCAGCTTAAAAATAAATAGCTTTCATAAGAAAGAGGTATCGATCATTCTTTTTAGCTTAAAGTTGTATGATCCGTAAGACATCTGCCAAAAGAAGCTAAGGTAAATGTTCCTATTTCTCTTCAGCTCATATAAGTCATTTATAACGAAAAGTTCTTCCACGCATGGAATTTAATGTACATACAAGAAATCATTTACATTCAATGTCTCCTATGAAAGTAAAGGCTTGTACACATCTTTGATGTCCGTATTTTTCGGTTAAAACTTGGTGTCGTTATTTCTACTCAACTCTCCCCTCCGTTAAAATTTGAATGCTTCGTCATTGTTTTTATTTAAGGGTTGATACAACCTTCAAGTTTGCAGCGCATGATCAGAAGAGGAGACCTCCCAAAGATTGACTTTGTTTCCGGAGTTAAAGAATATCTACGGGATTGACCCTCTCATCCACTACAAATATGTACTTGAGAGATAAGACAGGGCGAAAAATTTGACTCGAGCTTGAAAAATATGAAGAACGGCCGATTCGTTTGCGTTAAAGAGAGGATATCTAACGTGTCGCGGACATATAGTCGTTTGTGTTGGCGTAAACGTCAACGATTTGTAATTGTCTCCCCTTGGTGCACCCAGGTCCACCTCGCTGTGTCTGTCAACATGATAACCGGCATCAAACACCCCCGACCCCGCCAACCCCCGGGAACTGCAACTGACTGCAGAGAGAGAACCGGACCGGCGTTATATTCCAGTTATAGCACGCCTTCCCTCTCTATCTTTCTACCGCGCGTCCGCGGCCGCTCTTCTCTCACCCCACGGTGCACGCCACCCCCGTGAGCCCCGCGTGACTGTCGCTCTCGCGCCCGTCATTGTATCCTTGTTATCGTCATCGTTCCGGTCCAGCGCAAAGTGGCTCGTTTCAGAACAACCAAAAATCGCGTGTGTCGCGGTTGCTCTTTCTGGCTTTCGCTTTAAAATCGATTAGCCGCATCGATCGGCGAGCACACAGAGCTCTACGTGTACGTCTGTCGTTCCCGCCGATACCGCCACTCTCAATAGCTTGATGGATCGACTGTCGAAGATATGTCATCTTCCTCGCGGTTACAATTCCCGTATTACAAAGCGCGCCAGTAGTCCTCGTGACCGTAAATAAAGGAACGATTAAAATTCGCAGTATTCCAGGCGTCAGGGAACGAGAAAGTGGAGGAGGGAAAAAAGAATTTCGGGAAAGGGTGAGAAACGTAGGTCGAAGACCGTGAACGGAAACGATCGTCGAGGATTGGGGTGTTCCGCGCGCGACACCCGTGCTCGCCCCTTTCCCTTCGCCGCGGAGTCCCGAGTCCATCGCATTTGGGGCTAATAATGCCGCACGGCCGATTCCCCCCACCGCTCCGATGGCCGGACCTGCGGTTAATACTCGATGATGGGAACGGTCATCTGCAGAGACAGGACACCCAGGCTGTGCATTCGCGAACGGACGGACGGACAGACCGACAGACAAAACCGGGCCACGCGTATGTGCCACCTATATTGTATATAGTATAACCGACGGCGAGCACATCGCCGCCGTTGTGCAGAGCGAGAAGATCGAGCCTCACGTTTCGGTGTGTGCGACGTTCGGTACGCGCGTTCCGGAGATCGGTGTGCAGCGCGCGCCTAGGACGAGATGAACGGCATCCCAAACCGCCCACACAACAATCCGAAACCACTCGAAACCGTCCGTTAATACTCGTGGCACCAGGGACAGAGAAAGAGGGTTGCGCGGAGGGAGGGAGGGAGGGAGGAGCGGGGGTCTAGGTAGGGAAAGGTAGCCTGGCGCAGGACCGCGCTGCGCGTCTTCCTATCTCACTTACTCGCGAGTCTCGGGGGATGCGGAAAACGAGAGGGACGGAGGGTGGCGACGACGCGAAGGTCCCGAGACTCGCAACAGGATGTCTCTGCAATTGTCAAATAATTACTATCGGCGGTAATTTCAGCCGTGTCGATATAGACTGCGGTATATTACTAATTATAGGCACGGGGCTAGCCTCAGACCCGAACGATGATGGAACGCCCGTTTCAGCCCCTCTCTTTGATCCGTTCCACTCTCCGGCGCTACGTGCCACCGACGGCAACCTGTATCTCTTTCTTTCCGTTTATACGAGCATCCCGAATCGTGCCGCGCGCCTTCGACGGAGGTGATAATTGCGACGATTTCACTGCTCGTTTCCTTCCTTCCCTTATACCTTCCTCTCCCTTACTCAACCCTCTAATTATTATTCTCTCAACGTTCTTCTTTTTTTTGTTCGAGTCGTTTCATTCTTGGCGAACGGAAGTGATTCCGGATATGCATGAAGGGGTCATGAACTCGTAATTGTATCACCCACGAATTACGCAGACGTTTGTCACATACGATGTTGGCTCAAACAGGTTCTTCATATAGGTTATTCCAGCATTAATGATACAACTGTGGAAGTGATGATTGTATAGGAGAAAATACGTCGAAAGTATGGAATAAATTTTTTTGTTTTCATTAAAATCGACTTTGAATTTCTTTGAAGTACGCATGCACTTGATTATGTTAAGTGAATCTTGATACAAACCATTATTTACTCTGTTCATTTATGTACATGCATAAACGGATTTTTTATTAAGTAATGCACTCGAAATTCATATTATTTCATGTATTAACAATTATACAAAATTACAAAATTACAAAATTCTGTCATTGTTGCGTTCATATTTTTTATAATTGAAATCAAAATTCTGTTATTCGACATAAGAATTGAAGATGTAATAACTTTTTTAATAGGCTCGCAAAATTTCTAAAATCTACAATGTTTTATTAATGTAACATCTAGCAACAGTTATTTCAATGCTTCGTCATTGTTTTTATACATACAGGTATGTATTAAGCGCGTTTCCTACTGTCCAGCGGCGCCGCCGCCACGGATAGGCAGGGCCGAAACGTTAAGTTGCGAGGTATAGGAAAAAGCGTGTAAAAGCTGGGAGCTTCCAAGGTTCCCACTGGTCCGCAGAGCGAATAGGACTCTTGTACCACTTGTGTACCGTGCGAAGGTGGACTTTCAAGTATACATCAGCCTACTTCCTTCGCCAATCGTCATTCTTCATTTTTTTAAACGTTTCTATCGTTTGCTCCAGCGATGCTGCGAAAAATCTCTGGTGGAAGTGAGAGAAACGTATCCTCTCTTTCATAGCGTATATCTCTGTCTGTGTCTCGCTCGGCCGTGGCGGCAGTGATGAGATACGGGCCGGGTTTTCTCGCGCATGCGCGGCTTTTTCAATAACGTATGTTAACGCGCATATATTGGAACCCAAGGGGTTCTCGGACTCCTGGAAGTAATATTGACGGGAAAAGACCGAGACGAAGACTGTTGCCGGTAATATTGACGGGAGAAGACCGAGACGGAGACTGTTGTCGGTAAAATTGATGTTCAATTTGTAATCGTTTTCGCAAAATTATGCAGGGCGATCGCGGCACCCCATTCTATCGAAAATTGTACATTACTGATGCTGAAAAAGTCGCGCATGTGCGAGAAAACCCGACCCGTATCTCATCTATAGAGATATTATAGATAGAGTACAGATGCCATAGGCTCGCCTGTAAGTGAAATTGATACGCTGTTAGAAAGAAAACGAAGTAGAAATTTACTACCTCTCTTTGTTTAACTGCAGCAGAGCGCATGCTCTGCAAGCATACAGCGTACGTATTCGAACCCATATACACCTATATGAGTACTGCGCATGCGTCGGTAGAAAGAAAGAGGTAGTCATTCTCGTGTTCCTCTCTCTTTCTATTTGCGACTCACGTTTGCGGTTGGCTTCTGTACTCTATGTATACTATCTCTATGATCTCATCACTGCGTGGCGGACGGATCTCTCCCTCATTCCGACCGCCGTTTCGAGCC